TGAGATCTTGGAAGAAATTGTTCCCATGACCCCTTAATGGAATGATTTGACAACTTTGGAAGATGGCGTCGGTACTCAATAGAGTGATAAGGCTGATTGACCTGCATCCGTAAAGTAGAGGGTTCAAATCCTGATATGCTGTGGGTTTGTTTTGGTTTTGTTTTTTTTGGGGGGTGGGGGTGGGTTGCGAAAAGTACGCTGTACAAATGTCCTCACTTCACCCAGGGTAGAACGTTACCTAGCTAAGACAGAGTAAGATTTTTTTCTAGCGAGTTGGTGTTTGATTATCTATTGTTACAAAAATGTGTACTATAAAAGTCTGCATTGAACGCTTTCCGGGCAGTTGAAATGTTGCAGAATGTCAGGAATGGTCTATCGGTAATAAACGGTGATGCACAGATAGCTTTTTTCCCGAGTGTTGACCAGTCTTGTTCTGTTTCGTTTGTTTCAGATACAGCGGTCACAGCAAGCATAAGCAGAAGGAACCACCACGCTCCAAGTCGGACTATGATCTGTCTCAGATTAGGGCGGCTCTCGCGGCAGAAGATGAGGGCGACGAGAATAACAACAACAACAACAGCAACGACAACAGCAGTGAGGATCAACTCGACATTGCCCAGTCGTCTCCCAAGCTCGATGTGCTTGAAGGTACGGAGCGATTGAGTCTCCATGACAACGGTGTAAGCATCGACAGCCCAGACATAAGAGAAGTACACGGTTCGCTGCCGACAGAGACAAGTGAAAGAGAAATACACACTGTGCCTTCTAGTACTGAGGTAGTGCATGAAGAGAGTAGGATTCCTTACGAAGGCCATGGGAAGACAACAGTTGATGAAGCAGACAGCCCGAAACTGACCATCCTACGTAAGGGCGTTTCACGCAATTCACCGCTCACACAGCAACTAGCGAGTGGTGAAGAGAGCAGGGGATTAGACAGCACAGCTCGTACGCCGGACGTGGTCGATGAAACCAACGCTAGAAGGCTTTCCTCAAACTCTGCTCATCGTGTCCCAACGGAAGAACTGAAGCTTAGTTCTTCTGCGCCTAAACCATTACCGCGGAAGTTGAAAAAGAAACCTGTTCCCCCTCCCAGAAAACCGTGCCTGAAGTCTCTGAACGTTGACGGCTCCACATTGACTCCTCCTACCAAAATTATTTCTCCCGACAGCACGGCTGATTTCTCTGCTTCACCTCTGACCCCTCGAGCCAGAGAGGGCAGCGGGCAGAGTCCTTTGGAAACCCCACGACGGAAAAGTGCTCCCAGCATTTCAGCATCAACTGAACAAAAGCCTTACATTATAAGAAAAAAGAAATCGTTAGTAGAGTCTCTGACGCAGCATTTTACAGCTCTTAGTGCGCATTCAGATTCCTCATCTCCTTCTAACGAAAATCGAAAGTCTAGTTTCGAAGACGCTGGAGTGTGTAGCCCTCTGTTGGTTCCCGAGCAGAAAGACGTGAGTACCCCTACTTTTGTGAAACAAGTCAGTAATGACACAGTGATCACGTACACAGCTACGCCCATCTTCATCAGCAAGCCCTCGCCAAATCCAAACAACCAACAGGAAACATTTCGTGCCACTCCCGTGACCACATTTCTTAGCAGTCGTGAGATTTCTTGTCCCGATTCCTCAGGGAGTTCCCGAAACACAAGAAGTGCCCAAATCCCGACCAGTAGAAAGCGCTGCCCCGATGTGCCCGTGTCCAATAAGTACAGCAAACGTGAGAGAAAGTGTTCGTTGGGATTGGATACAACAAAACCTGCATACACTGCTGTGTCCCCTGGATTTGTCACTTCCCCCAGCTCCATTGAGATCGACGTGAATGATTCTGTTTTCGAAAGACATACCCAGAGTGATAGGAAACATTTGGGTTTGGAGCCAGCGCCTGTTATCTCCTCTGTGTTTTCTTTTCCCCACAACTCTGCCAAGATTGCGGACCCCGTGGCCAGAAGCGTTACGTCATCGTCGGCCTCCAAGTCGGAGATGTCCATAGAGAGCGTGGACCAGGCAGTGTGCGAGTCCGAGGTCAACGCTCTCCCCGCCGCGCCTGCCTCCTCGTCCTCCACGGTCGACATCATGGACGGGATGCTCGGAGGAGGAGGAGGAGCTGACGACTGCGGGGGCGGGCTCACCACAAAACGCGAGGTCACGAGGTCAAACTCGTCCCTCAGCGGCAAGATGGAGGCACTCGACAGCGCGGCTGTTGCTGCTGTTTCTGCGGGGGCCACGATGAGATCGCACTCACCGACCTTACACCACCACTATCAGGGCTGTGCGTCCACGTCACCGTCCTGCGTGCCACGTTCCCACTCTGACATAAGCTGCCGGCTGGAAGGACAACACTCTCGTGATAGTTCCATCGTGTCCAGCCGCAGTCGGTTATCGCGAGCCTCCGCGGGTGCCGACCTCGAGAACTTCTTCAACCAGATGGGTCTGGAGAAGGGAGTTCTGGAACCTATCGCGAGGCTGAAAGAGCTGCAGGCGTGTGAGGTCTTTGACAGCGTCAGCTCGCTCGACTCGCAGGATGCGGCCAGTATTTGTAGCACGTATTCTCGCAGTGAGCAGGAATGGACCGATTCGCAGTCAGTGGAGAGACTTCAGCACCCGACCTCTGTGGTGGAGAGAAACGCCAGGATTATCAAGTGGCTGTGTAACGTACGCAAAGCTAAAATCGCCAAATCAGAAGCCGAGGCTGCGGGGAAGGGATGAGGGGGAAAATATAACCAATGAACTGGCCAGGTGTGATAAATAAGAGTTTCATTTGTTGTTGATTTTGTTATTACGACGTGCAAATAGCTTTCAGTCCTCAGAGATGATAACTTTGAGCCATTTTGCAGTTTTCTTCATCATTAGCATAACGAGGATTTTTGCTCTAGAACTGAAGAGTGCCTAAGCATGCTTGACTTTCACAGCTACTTTTGACAACATAGATGTAGTCGTCACTACCCTATGGCCTTTACTATTTTACATACGTATGAGTGCGCCTGGAATCTTGGATTCACATGACTCTTTCTACGTTTGCCTTTGTTTATTTATTGATACCTCGTTTGATTGTCTTCTTCCATAAGTGGAATTAATCGTAGATGTATCGTTCACGAAACCTTTCACAGCAACGGAAGTAACAAGAACAAGCCTGAGAACTTGCATTCCACATTCCTGTGAATGAAGAAGGAGAAAAAAACAACACACCAGTTTGTTACAGCAGGACTTCAGCATCATGACTGACCTATGCAATATGGTGTTGATGGTATGAGTTTGTATTTTAATGAAGGTCTTTTTTGATTTTCTAGAGCGTCCTTTTATTTATTTGTCAGTGGCAATGCACTTTCTTTGTTGTCAGGTTATTTTCTTGTGCTTTATGTTTGTGCTCAACAGACTCTGTTACTTACTGAGAGTATGCATTTAAACTCTGCATTTGAAGAGAAAACGAAGTCTTCTTATTCCTACTCTAATTGAAAATTTAAGATGCAAGAAAAATTTAAGAAGGACTTTTGCATTTCTTCATAGTTTGTGAAACCTTATAGGATGTAGTTTTTTTCTGTTCTACTGTAAGATTGTGTATAATGCATATTGAGGCTAAAGTTGAAAATGGGTTTTAGTTTAGCATGAGTCAATCAATTATCTCAGACCATGTTACTGTTGGCAACAAAAAAAAGATTGCAGATATACAGATTTAGGATTGATGGATAAATGGTAATTATTCCAAATATTTTAAGTCCCTCATCGTCCTAAGGTGGTGGTGGGCTGCTTTGATGATTTCTGTCAGGGCCAGTGCACACTGAAAGGGTTGCAGTATCACAAAAGACGGACACAGTCAACGATGAAATTGACTTCCCTGCTTGGGAACAAACTCACAGGGTTTTTTTGGTGTGTTTTGTATAATGGGGAAGACCTTTAGCGTTACACCACAAATGTCGAAAGATTTAGACTGACATGACATTTATTTGAGTAGACCTAATATATTTATTTGCCTCTCGAGTGAACTAGCCTTAATGGAGATCTGAACGAACAAAAGGTGGTTTTTTTTGGTGTAGTTTATCTGTCTGCTAGGTACTGAATGAGGCTTGGATCATGCACTCCCCCCCCCTCCCCTCCCCCAGGACTACAATTACAGCAGGACCAAGTGTACTTATTATATCAAGGTTGTTTTTTTATTGTCCCTTCTCTCAGACTAAACAAGATACTTGCAGTTCATTATTGATTTAAAATGAGTATTGGCTTTGCCTACTCCTTCTCTTCTTTTGCAGACTAAACTTTTAAATAAAAATTTAATGGGTCGTCTTAGTTTCTGAAAATGAAAATGTGGATGATTTTTTAAAATATCTAAATCAAATGGACCAACAAAATATTTGTGACATTAAATTATCCACCTTGCCATCACATCACTAATGCCATTTCCATTTTCTGTTTTGTGTTTTTTTCATTGCTCAAATCTCCATTCTGTACGTTCTGTAAATTGACTGACAATGTTTCTCTTTTCTCTGATAATAAGAAAAGTCAGATCTTTTAACTTTTCTAAATGGCAGTGTTCAGTTAGATTTAAGGTCTGCTGTTACTGCTTTCTTTTTAAGTTTTCTCAGACTTTGACATTTTCTACCTTCATCTTCTGTCAGTTCTCTTACAAGCTGCTATGGTAGCAAACTGTTGATACTTACCAGTCGTGTACGGGATCTTTGACAACTTGCTTACAGGATGCTATCTATGTGGTTCAAACTTCTTTTGTCGTGTTATTGTCAATAATGGGTCTCTAGTGTCATGTTACATATTCCACTTCTTTACCTTTTGACATTGTTGAATTCTTTCAGTAATGTGCGTTTTAATTGTTCTTCACTTGTGAGTAAATTAGTAAACATTACAGCGAAGTGAAATGCGTTAGTCTAAGTAAGAGACACTTTGAGATCTGGTGAAAAATCTTCAAGTTTCTTTGCATTCCAAATGCTGATTTAATGTGCACCACCATATATTATTATATCGTAGTTACGCCATTCAAGCGCTGCTGCTTTATTTTGGGTCTTAATTTTTGTAGAAATTGTAATGAAAATATATCATTCTCTTGTTCCGGGGAGGGGGGGGATTATTTAAACTCTAAAGAAATGTGTTTTTAAAATACTGCATTAAGATTGATTCCAGTGAGGGATGTGCTGTTTATTGGAGACTTTCTTTCACATCAACTTTTATTTGTATGCTTCAGCCAGAGCCGTATTAAATTCCTGCTCAGTATTTTTTGTATGTGACATTTACTGTGTGGGTCATCCATATGAAGGCATTGCTTGTATTGCTTTTTTTTAAAGTACAGTACATGAAATATTGTGGTCGGTTAACAGATGCTCTTGTGTGGTTTGCTCCTTCTTTCCTGTCCAACATCTATTACCCATATCTCTCTTCCTTCTTTTTTAGTATGTTACTCTCTAGGTACACCTCTAATCTTCAGCACTTATATTATTACCTAACTGTATAGTATTGCAAGTGCTGTAAAACTCTCACTAAAAGTGAAACTTATACCTGAAATATTGTTACATCTTGATGATGCTATTTATGTTTCTGCTTGCTGCCTCTTCTTCTTTTCTTACTTGTGGTCAATCTTTCATGTTGTTCTACAGCCTTGACTATACCAATATAATATCCTTTACTTCAATTGTTACTTTAAGATTTCAAATTGACTGCTTTATATGTTTTAACAGACCATGCTTTTTATTTATTTCTAAGAAGTTAGCATTTGGGTTATAGTAATGAGTGCAGAGCTGCTAATTGCAGGATATGATTTTTCTTTGTGGAAATTCAATATCTTTAAATTCGTTGATCTACATATTTTGTTGTTTTCGTACCTTGGTAATTGTGTCGTAAAATTTGATGAAGTGATACCACAACAGTACATTTTCACATGGTGTGAAACAGAATAGATATTCTGTGTTTAGATTCTATAAAGTGTTTGTGAGATCTTCCGTCTTCTCTGTAGTGATTGTGGCAACACTCATTTTATAGTGTTCATTGATGTTACTTACACTACGCACACAAGGAAATACCCCCCCCCCGGCGGTGCTAATGACTGAAGTGTCATTAAAAGGGGGCCAATTAACATGTTCGTATGCACAGTAGAATTGTAAGTTGGCTGATTCATTAATGTCATACTAATAATTGTGCCTGAACTGCAACAGGGAACTGCTGCTTTTTCTTCCCTATTCCTTACTATAGTCATTTTCCTCTACTGCTTTTGTATTTTTGTCACACTCTTGTGACCCGCTATTTCCGGGATGCCTTGATTGTCGAAACAGACTTACTACTGTTGAAGCAAGAGAGGTGAGCAGTCTAAGTCTTGATTCCCTGTAAGGATTTCTCTATTGACATGCACCCCTTGGCGTTCATTTGACCGTATGCAGTTGTGAGCGCCGTAAAACCTCTACTAAAACTAAAACACAAGGAAAACCGGCTTATGACTTTTTTCACTCACTAAAATTTGTTTAATTTTTCATTTGTGCATCAGATTGTCCCTGCTCTGGTCCAAGTTCAAAAGAGGAGGCATAATGTTGGTTCAATAAGGAAAGATTCTAATTGTATATGTGTCATGATGTGGTGGAATCAGGCGTTCATCAATTTTTATAAATATAAGGTTATTGATATCATCTTAAAGCCTGTTTATTTGTCTTGCTTTTGGTGAAAAAATATCCATCTATGTTCAATAGAAGTCTGAATATTTATGATCGAAGGAGGTCAGGTTCGCCTGGTTTCAGAGGTAAAATTAGTGAGAAATGGCCACCAAAGTTTAGTAATTTCCATAGCTTGATAGTCTTTGGAAAGCGAAAATTAACAATTTTTGTGCCTTTAATCAATGGGTTTTCTTTAGTAAAATCCACTCAGAAATGTGTTTTTAAATGGATATAAAAGGTGTTGACCAAAAAAAGAAAATTAGAAAAATATTTGCCCAACTGACAGAAAAATGCCAATTTCTTTGATTTATTATTTTGACGAGCGCCTGATTTCACCACGATGCCTAACATATTAAGCTTACTCAAAGTTTCCAAAGCCTGTAGTTGCCATGTGTGTCAATGTTTTTGTCATCAGACCACAGAAAAAAATGGGTCAGAATTTTGTTAGTGTGCGGTTTTTATTTGTTTTTTTACTTTGGGTTGTTTTTGTTTTTGTTTTGTTTTTTTTATACTTTTTATGGGTGGGGAGGGGGGGGGGATGGGGAATGATGTTTATGTGCCTATGTACATGTAGATCTTAGTGTCGGTATGTGTGTGGGTTAGTGCGTGTCTTTGCTTGTAGAGAGGTCACTTCTGTGAAATGATTTACTAACTTTTCTATTGCTTTCTGCCTTTGTGATGTGACATATCAACAAAAGTCTTGCATGTTTTATGCCGCGCTCCAGATGTTAGAGTAAGAGCCAGATCAGATACTTTTTTCAAATTATAGTTGGAGAAAAAAGGTCAAGATCAAGGTTTATGGAAACTTTGCATTCATTCTGATTGCATGCATTTACGGTGAATAGAATTACCGTACTACCACTTTTGTGTTGTTCGATATCTATTCTTTTCTTTGCTTTTTCATGGTTTGTGGTGGGAAGTGTTTTTACGTTATAGTAAAGTATACTTTCTGTCTTTATTTTAAAAATGAATGTGTCATATGGGGCGATTGATTTGTCCAGAAAAAGTTTTGAAAAAAGTAAAAATGATTGCTTTTGCATATTTTTTTTTCTTCAGAGTTTGCTTTAACTTTTAACAGTTATCTGTACTTTATGATTGCTTCAGTGTTGAAAGAGCGCATCATTTCTTTACAGCTCAGTTTGTTTAAACCTTGTATTGATAACCACATATTATGTACCGTACATGACTGTAAAAAAAATGTTTTAATTTTTTTTTTTATGTAAAGGATGCATACCTAGTTTGTCTTTCAGATTTTCTTTGTTGTATTTTTGTGTTGTTACCCTAACTAATTGTGGTTTGTGTATCAAAGAAATACACTTGTAGTCTGTATGTTGAATTTTGGCTGAAATGCTTAGTGAAAAGCTCATCTATAAAGCAATAAACTTTTTGTGCTGCAACTAGATCTAGGTCTATATAAAAGAGGTTTTTTTTGGTGTTATTTTTTCTCACATAATTTGAAATCCAGAAAGGGACTTAGATTTAAGCCCTTATTCTATGTGGTCACATATTCCTAATTTATTTTGTCTTTTCAAATCTGATCGCTCAGCTTAAACAAGATTTTTGTCTGAATCCTGTTTAGATTCCTTAACCCCATCGGGCACTGGGAATGTCCGGCGTTAATAACCCCCCTCCTCCCCATCGGACGCCCAGCGTCCCATACTAGCGGCAACATTTTCGTTTTATTTAGAGCTAGTTTTTGCTTGTTTTTTAAAACTATTCCTGAAGCAAGTTTTTTAGTTATGACTAGGTCTAAGCATTTGTTTCCGCCATTTAGAAGTTTGGAGGGAAACTTTTGGGGTTATAATGAGCACCAGGTTTAGGTGACTGTAGAAAAAACTCCGGGAAACGGTGGACAAAACTCAGGGTTTAAAGAGTTAAAGCAAATTTAAATCATTTTTATTTTTGTTCATAGATCCCCTCAATTTAATGGTCTGGGCACATGATGGGCCCATGGGCCTCATTATCCGATTTTGTCCCTGCTATTCTGTTTCTCATGACTGCAATCTTGTGTTTCCCTTGAGCCTAATGTGATTATTGTTCTATGAACAAAAGCTTTGTTTGGCTCACATGTAAAAGGAGTATTGTTTGAATGTGCCCTGGTCTTGTCCTAGTGTTCAAAGGCTACAAGCTCTGTGCCACAGCCATTGATACTTTCTTTGTCGCGAATGGACTGCCATGTGAAGGATAGTTCTGATGCAGTTTTGAGAACTTTTGACCATAAAAAGCAGTGACTTTGTGCTTTAACTGACCTGCTATTTGCCTGGTTTGAGTTGAGAACTCCGCAAGGCCAGACGTTGTGTTCCCTCCCACCTATTCTGGAGGTACAAAGGGAACAGTTTCAGAAAGAGAAGTTTGGACCTTGAATTGTTAGTTTTATACATCCGCCAAGTTTGTAGCCGCCATGTCCCAGTGACTTCATCTAGGTTTTGTCCTGCCTCTGAAACATATATCAATACCATAAGTAATTCTCCATGACAGTGTGAGTTCAATGACTTAGGTTTAGGACTTTTTTTAACCATTATTGTCTGTTTCCTTGTCAGTGTCTGTAAAATTACTGATGAGTTGTTTTTCTTGAGGTGTTTCAGTACATATCAGAGGAAAATGAAGAGCGCTTTCAGCACGGGTTTATCCTTGTGTTCAATACGGTATATCATCTTTGATAAGATTTTTCTTTTGAAACATTCTTTCACCTTCCTGTGAATGAGAGTGAGACTAGTCATGGTTCACCGGTTCATTTTGCACTTGACTCTCTGTCTTTTCTCACTTAAACTCTTTGCAATTATTTACTCTCCACTTTCTCTCTGAAGGAGAGGGGTAGGGGTAATGAGAAGGTGTGAAATATTCCTTAAATGAGTTAAATACTGCAGGATTTCTTTTCAGTCCACAGTTAAAACTCTTTAGGTTGTTCTTTTCATGTACTTCTTTTGGGCGTAGATTTAAAGGTAGATGTCTAGACTAACATCATTTCCCAATGTAAATGTGAGGCAGTGTGATAAAATCAGGCGCTCGTCGAAATTATGAAAGTCAAGAAACTTGCATTTTTCCGCAGGTTTGGGAATTTTTATCAAATTTTTTTTTTGGGCTCAACACCTTTCATGCCCATTAGAGAACACATTTTTGTGTCGATGTTACTGAAAAAAGTTGATTGAAGGAGTAAAAGACGTAAATGTTCAGTTTCAATGGACTCTCAAGCGAAGGAAATAACTCAACTTTGGCTGCCATTTTCTCGCTAATTTTACCTCTGAAACCAGGCGATTCCCACCTCCTTCAATAGCCAACATCTTGACTTTTATCCAAGATAAATGGATATTTTTTCATCAAAACCAAGTCAAATGGAGAGTCTTTAAGATCATACCAATAACTCCATATGCCTCAAAATTGACGAGCGCCTGATTCCGTGGCGTTGTGACGCAAATGGATTTTGATCATATCAAAAGACTTTCTTAGCATCTGCATCTTTAGGGATTTCACTTTTAACCAAGTCGTTGGTAGTCTAGTGGGTAGGCTATTAGTCCTGTAACCATGAAATTGCAGGTTTAGGGTCCGAGTCTCAACTCGGCCTGAGGTTGCGTCCTTGGGAAAGGCACTTTACATGAATTTCCTATTTGGCTCTGTCCTTTCAGAGATGAACGTTAAACCCAGAGCACCCGCCACTTGAATAACCTATTTGTGTTGACAGAGACGTTAAACCATTTCACATTTCTTTTGATGAATAATTTATCAGAATATGGATGTTTCATGAATCATTCAGATCCTGCCATTGTGCTCGCTCACATAAAGAGGACTTCATAGGTATAGGCCTATGCTATAGCCTATAGAGAATTATAGCAGTTTAAAGACTGTAGATCAAGCAACGGTGAAGGTGCTAACAACTAACACAGTAACATATCTTGTTCTCGTCTGCTCACATTGATTTTTGACTATACTGATGACATTTTGCTAGCACTAAGCTCACTATGTTGTTAACAACTTTCTTTACCATAAGTCCTCTCCAGTTTTGAGGGATTTTGTCAATCTTTTACTACTCAAATAGATACTATACACTTGAATCTATTGTGAGAGGCAGATTGATGTGTGTAAACAAAGTTCCATGTTATCAACATCAAAGCAATTACGCTTTGGATGATTGAAGATGCATATCATCACTGTTGCGCAAAAGTAGATCCAGTTTGACCCTGTTTGACAGAGTAAGTAAAATGCATTTAATTTACTCATTTTTGTTATATCAGCTACAGTTTATACATGCCCTTGACAGACAGTAATATTAGCAAGGTGTT